TTGTTTTTTTTAATGTACTGTATCTGTGGAAAGTGCCACATACACACACTCATCATCCCAAATACAAACTCACACATTCTTTTATCAATGTCCTAACAATTTTAACTTTATTGTTTATTTTTAAAGTTGTCAGGCATCAAATGTTCACGTCGTCCAATCAGCAGTGAGCGAAAGACAGAGAGATCAAAAGAAAAGACATCAAAGAATTACGAGTTCTGATGTTGTATTAGATATTGTGCTGCGTCTTTCATGCATTGTTGCACTGGAAACGATTCAGCTACGTTAAGAGATTAAATTATACAATGCCATCTTTCATTAAATGGTTACACAGAGCAATGAGTCTACATTTTGTTCCTCTACTATATGCTGAATAAAGCAATGCTTTTGTTCCTTGAAAATATCTATTCCCTTGCCTCCTTCCCATCATCATTTCACGCTCCATTATGGATTCATAGATTCCTAACCCCCAGTGCCGATAACGGAGGACATTTGTAGTGGAAAAAGCAGACTATTGGCTGCCAGCGTGTGTTATCTGATGCATTCATCAAACTAGGGGCTCAGAGTTGTGTTATGCTGTGCTGCCAGTGTCCCTCTGTCCCTTTCACTCTAGCGCAAGATGGAGGTATAACCTTGCCGCGCTGCAGAAGTGATGTCACCATATTGTGTCACTGTTGCTGCAGGACAGGGTTGACTGCGCGTCCCTCCTCTGCCAGAGCTGCAGTGGCCCGCCGCTGTCACACAATTTCCGTCATTCGCTGACTGATTTTCCATCACTAGGGCAAATTAACCTTCCATGTGCGTGTTGAGCTTCGGGAATAGCCACAGCTGTCAATTCTCATTTTGCAGCCCTTTCCCATTTTGTTGTTGTAATTGTATTTTTGTTGGCTTATGTTGCATTACATACTGTTCACATGTGGTTCAATGAGACAGAGACAATCTGTGTCCTAATTTGTCCTCTGAAAAGTTCTTTGTGCTCCCTGTTTTTCCATCGTTGTGCCTAAAGTTTTTTTCGTGCTCTCAAAACCAACTCATCTGTCAACCCCATGCCATCTGGACGAGAACTTTCCTCATTTCCTTATTCTATAGATAGCGCTCCATTCAAACGAGCACATCATTCTCATTGGCACATCATGGATTTGGCTTGGTACTTGATTTGTATTCATATCTAATGGCTGAGGTATTCTTCACACATAATGTATGCCCTCTCTTGTAAGTCGATTCATTAAGAAAGCATTCACTGAGAATTTCAATGAATGGATTCTGTATGTGGGTTCAAAGAGTTCAAACGTGAAAATTGGGTTTGTATTGCTAAAACTGGTCTGCGTATCTTATTGAATTAGAGTTAAGAACTGGCCAAAAGAGCTCGGCTACAAGATAGTGTCATTTTATGAGACAGGCTATCACAAACTTTTTTTTTACTGGAAACAAACAACACTCAATTCCATGAAGGGTTCTCAAACATGAATTCTTCCACCAGTGTTGAAGCACCACTGAACTAAAATACTCTGACAGAGAACTGTACTGCTATTCAGCGGTGACACAACAGCATTAGTGAATTTATTACATGAAGTAGACAGCTTGAACAGTGTAGTTTGATTGCTTTTCTTAGTATTGAATCAAAAATATGCTGTGAAACCAGTACTCCTTAAATAATGATTATTATGAGCCCGTTCTTTTTAGGGAATCAAAAACAGTCAGTGCAACCAATATATTCTGATTCCCAAACAAAACACTAGTATGAGCCGGTTCTTCAAAGTAAATCAAAAACTTGCAGCGCAACCACTGTATCTGACTCATGAACAAATGGCTCTAATGAATCTGTTCTTTTTAGTGAAACAAGAACATCCAGCACAGTCAGCCTAGTGTCCGATTCCTAAAATGATTCCTATGAAGGTTTTTTTTTGTTTTGTTTTGTTTTTTATGAATTGAAAAAAAATATGTGCGTATAGATTCCCGGACAAATGATTTTAATGAGAAGTTTCTTTTTAGTCAATCAAACAAATACAGCTTGCAACTAACTGTGAGAAATCATTTATAAAGATGCACAAGATGAGTTTTGTTAGTAGTATTTTTTTTATTTGTTAGTCATTTTTTTATGCTACCACATGTATTGTTTGTTTAGTATTTTTGTGTAACATACGGTACAGGTAAAGCTAATATTTGATTGCATTTATAACACCTGTGTAAATGTCTTTTTCACAAATTAAAAAAAATTAATGATTTTTTAAAACATATATTTAGTTCTGTCGGCACCAATAGCCTTGTGGGCAGCGCACCGACATATAGCGCTGTTGCGCTTCGGCTGTCCCGAGTTCGAGTCCCGGCTCACTGACCTTAAGAATCATTAGTGGAACTGGAATCTTTAAGAGGAATTAGAACCAGAACCGAAAGAGTTAAATTCTTTATGATTCTTAGTCACAGACTGTTAAAAAAATATTTGGAATCTCCAGTATTGACATCTCTGTATAACTCATGGTTGTGATTACCGCCCTAGACTGAGTCTGTTCCTTGCACACGGCAATGGCATGAACTGTGTTTCTCATTTGTTCTTGGATGCAGAATTGGATTTTTTCTGCATTTTTTTTCTTCACTCTATTGCAAGTCTGATCATTTTTACATTCCTTAACTCATATAAGTTGTTTTACATTCTATATTTGGAATCTCCAGTATTGACATCTCTGTATAACTCATGGTTGTGATTACCGCCCTAGACTGAGTCTGTTCCTTGCACACAGCAATGGCATGAACTGTGTTTCTCATTTGTTCTTGGATGCAGAATTGGATTTTTTTCTGCATTTTTTTTCTTCACTCTATTGCAAGTCTGATCATTTTTACATTCCTTAACTCATATAAGTTGTTTTACATTCATTTTTTGTCTGTGTGATCTCTGTCTGCACCTGTGCTTTAGCCCCATATCCACTGAGCTTTCTGCTGGTTCCTGCCAGAGCCACATGGCTATCTTCTCCTCTTTCCTCCTTAATCCCAGAGATCTGTGCTCTTTTAGTGCCTCTTTCCCACATCCTCCTCAGTTTCCTATGTGCTTTAGACAGGCAGCTCCTTCAAACCCCTGAAGGCTTCGATTACAGACCACCAGCTATATAAGGTTCTGTCATCACCAATTACAGCCCACAACCTGCCACAACAGACAGGAAGGGCCAACCTAATGCCAGCCATTCCCTCACTGCAAGTGTACCCTAACTGTCTCTAAGGGCCTATCCTAGCTGTCTTAATCTCTTCTGTTCCCATGAGTCTCTGCGGGGGTTCCACGCCTCTTCCAATGTTGTGAGCATCTGAGCCCTGGATGACACTCTGGTATGAGTCTCTTGGTCCTGCTCCCAGTGTCTGCAGCAACTGTTGTCAACTCATTCTCGGTTTCACACAACACATAATCCTGCCACTTAATAATTATCATGCTTGTCTTGATGGGATGCATTCTGAAGTCATCACTGTTTTGAGAGGCCGCTGCTAGGTGATCTGTTTGAAGCGTGCTGCTGGGAGGCACGTCAGATATGTGTTGTGCCGCGTGGCAGCTCCGCTCCCCTGTAACGAGGATGCAGACTACAGGCGACAGCTCCTGTGTCAACGTCTCTGGAAATATCTCTTAATGTGTTCCTGCTAGAGGTCAAGTCAGCGTGATCGATGAGTGGACAGATTGTGCCACATCAGAGATGTGGAATTGTTTATGCAGATTAGAGCTTTCACAATAGTCAAGTGTTTCGTGTTTCCTTTGGTTTTGTACTGTATATGCACTGACCGCTGAGACTGCTAAATATATCATTTCGCTTAACAATGGTCACATTTTCAGTTGCATCTCTTCATCTTGACTTATTTAAACACAATGCTAATAGTAAAATCATAGAAACAGACTTCATATTCATTGTCATATCTAATGATATAACAAATTTTATGTCATTTTAATTATACATTATTATTATTAGCATTATAGTTATATAATTAAAGTATAATAATAATAATAATGTGTATTAAAATAATATTGAAATAACATAGTAGCTTGAAATGATAACCAATTAAACTGAAGATATAATTGATGCAAGTCAACATAAATGATTATTACTATTTCTTCTCCTTACTATTATCATTATTAAATCAGAATATATATTATTTGTCATGCGTAATGGTATAAATACTTATATAAATACTATTTTATTTCATTTATAACATCTGTGTACAAGGTCTTTTTAAGACATTTTTAAAAATTACAAGAAATTTTAATGTTTTAAAATGTAAATAACTTTTTTTATTTAAATAAATCAAACATTTATTTAAAAATTAATTAATTAAAAAAAAGTTTTTAAAAAGTAACATTAAAATAACAAAATTATAAATAAAAGTGTTAAATAATACTTATTATTTTATATTATTATTATTTTCTTTATTATTATCTTTTTTAAATGATATATAGCCAGAATACACATTGTTTGTCATGAATAATGGTTATATGGTATATGTAATTTTTTTAAATAATAATAACAACATAAAATTATGCATTTATTATTATTATGTATAGTGACAATAAACTTGTATTAAAATATAAAAATATTGTAAATAATAATAATTATTGCTAATTTTATTATTTAATTATTATATTTTATATAGAATGGTTTTATGATCCATTTTTAACTACAGTGCTGAAATGACCTCATCTATATTATCTAAACTGTTTTATATACAAAATAAATAACATTTTATTTTATTTGAAGTTTGTTCGTCTGTTGTTTTGGGGGCTTTACTTTATTAGACACATCTAAAAGCAGACACATAAACAGTGTCACAGTCACAGGAAATGGATTCCATGTGGCATCAGTGTCCAGGGACAAGCATGTAGGAATAAGCCCCTTTTATGCCTCCATCCAATACCAGATGTCAAATATGTCCTGAGCTTTAAAAACTTTGTAACTCTACCTGTTTTGTTTGTGTGCAGCCTCTTTGAAAGTTGCATTTATAGAATGTTTAAGCAGCACTGTCTGTGTTTGTTTCAGAGTCAGGCAGAAGCCCACTACAAGGGGAACCGTCATGCTAGGAGAGTCAAAGGCATTGAGACCTCCAAGAGCCGCCCACAAGAGAGTGACAAACCTCCTCCCGGGCCCGTCTCATCCCCCTCACCAACGGGACCCTTACCGGCCATCTCAGATACGGACCCCAGCAAAACAGGTAAGAGCTTGAGTAATGTGATTGTAAAACATGCATATCTGGTTGTCTCTGCTCACTCACACAGAACACTTGGGAAGAAAATGTGTTTCCCCAGAAAAGACATTAAACTGAAGAATATGAAGCTTTCAATCATAATACAAGGGGGTCTATTCTGCTTCAAAACTCTCAAAAGATATGACTGGAAACTCAGGACACTTAACTCACCCTATGAGACAAAAAGACACCACAAATATTCAATCTTCTTCAAGTGTGTGGTCCGACCTCACTCTTTAAGAAGCAGCCAATTGAACATTCCCAACACTGAAGGTCTGGGGTCTGTCACAGGGCAATTACAGCACTGTGTGTACAATAACAGAAAGAGACAAAAACAAGATTCCTCAGTCCCAGGCCAAGATTTAAAATAGTCAATCTATGGTGCATTCCTTGTTTGTCTTGTTGAAACATCTTGAGGAATTCTGGATGAAGGTCTCAAACATGGACCACCTCATTTAGAGTCTAATTTTACTAGTGGCGTGACTTTGACCGTCACCGCTTTATTAGGAAGACCTAGCTGATGTGTTTATGGAGCTGTGTGCAGGACTATTAGGTATTAGAAGCCCATTTGTCTCTGTATCAGAATAAACTTTGGGATTAGAGCTGGAGCAGAGGATGAGCAGTGAGTGAGAGTTGGTGAAACAAAGAACGTGGATATAAAAAAGTTCAGAGGTCTTGAGGATTAGCTAAGAGGGCAGAAGGGAAACATCACAGTTGATCTTGCTTTAATGAGAAGTGATTAAACATTGGCAGATCATAATGATGGTGAGATGAAATGGGGGCACAGAGTTTATAAACTGCCAGAGGGTGGGTGACTCCCTCTTGTGCCTGTTATTTGCCGCTCTTCTTTTCCCGTTCTCTTCACGTCCGTGCTCCCTGCTCTTTTCATGCGCCAGTTATTGCTAGCCTCAATCTGGATCAAACTGTCAGAAATTAGGTAAAAAAAAAATACACAACTGGTAGATGTTTAATGAAAAGCTTTAAAACAAGTGTTTGAATTTCAGTTTTTAAACTACACTCATGAACGCCAAAAGAAATCCATATCAAAGGCCTCAGAAGGACCATGGATTCGATGCCTATTGCAAGCTCTTATTTAACGTTCCCTGTAAGTCTGTGTGTGACTTACACACACACACACACACACATCTGGATATCTAGATGCATACCAGTATAATTTACACTGTTGTTGATTTTGTTGTAATGTTTACTAACTTATTGTCTTATGACATCAGGATGTGTTTGTTTCTCTATTTAAAATGATCTGTCAGTTGATTGTTACCCTAGTCACAGTTTTATGGTCTGTGAGTGGCATTTTAAGATATTTTATGAGCCTTGTTTGTCTCATAGCATGTGATGAATATTCATGTGAGTCTCTGGTAATTTAAGACAACTAATATTTTGTACAATACTCTTTTTACACTTTACACTCTTTGTACAAAACACTTTGTAACTCATTGTACAATTCTCAATCTGAAAATACAAGATGAAGTACATAATATTGAAACCATTAATAGTTTTTTTAATCCAAATACACTACCATTCAAAAGTTTGGGGTCAGTAAGATGTTTGAAAGTCTCTTATGCTCATCAAGACTCCATGTATTTCATAATAAAAAAATACAGTAAAAACAGAAATATTATTAAAATGTAAAATTACTATTTTCAATTGTAATTTTTTTCCTGTGATGGCAAAGCTGTATTTTCAGCAGCTATTACTCCAGTCTTCAGTGTCACATGATCCTTCAGAAATCATTCTAATATGCTGAAACATTTCTTATTATTATTATTCATGTTGAAAACTGTGCTGCTTAATATTTTTGTGGAAACCATGATACAATTTTTTCAGGATTCTGATAATTTGAAAGTTTAAAAGAGCAGTTTTTAAAAATAGAATTGTAAAAATAATGGCAGATATTTAGTCATGGTAACTTGACATTTTAAGACATTTAAATAATTTCAATTCCAAAAAAGCCTTCCAAACGTCATTTTTTAAGTTTCACAAAAATAACATACAGTATTATATACAGAATGATTGCCTTATTTTCCACATCCCCTTGTCCTGCTTATCATCTCTTTCACTGAGGATGGAGGAGGACAGTATAGCCATGTCTCTCACTGAGGGATTTGCCTGTCCAGAGAAAACTGTCTATAGTCCTTAGGCCTAGAAAGAATTCCAGCGGGAGGGAGCCAAAACAAACTGGCCATGATCTAAATGTGAAACCAGATACATATGAAAGAATGCCGTTTTCCATCCAAAGCTTACTCCCGTGACCCCGACCCCTAGCGGGCCGGTGGCTCGCTTGTTTGTATATCCCGACAATTGCTTTGTTTTGATGCCTTCCCATAATACTAGTTTCACAACAGAGCCTTCATTGAGCTGCCAACCCCTAGAGTCCTGACAGCTGCAGTTCCATCTGGACATTGCAATCCCAGCGTGTGTAGAAGTGTGTGTGTGTGTGTCTGGGTGAGATTGTACAGTGTAAAGTCATTTTGTAAAAGTTTAGAGCTCACTGGGTGTGTTTCTCTTCATCTTTTTTTTTTCTACTTCCACTGCAGTTAGAGATTAACTTTAAAGCACGTGACTAGATATTGGGGATGCATCAGGGCTCAGTGCTTGGGCCTAATCACTTTATCTCACTTGTCTACGCATCTTGCTGGCTGCTCTGTGTGTGTGTATTTTTATGTGAAAGCTCAAGAGGAGAATTCCCACGCTTCATGAGAAACACTAGGCTGTGTTGGACCTCAACTGCCGGAGATGTAATTTATTGATGATTTTGTTTCACGCATCACTAGAGCCAGCATTTTCTCAGAGGTAGAAAGACAATACTCGGTCCTGTGGAGTCACCTTTACAGTGGCTGTAGAGTTTCAGTTGCTTTCTGCATGTTTCCTTAACTATCTTCTGAATAGAGGTCGACTGATGAATCGGCCGATTTTTGCCATTTTTTAATAAATCGGCATCGACCGATTGTGCTGCAAATTAGGCCGATTTATAGGCAGGCAGCTAAGCGTTGTTGCGGAACACCGGAGAATCTCTTTCTGGCTGCGTAAGAGATGGAGCAACTCACACTCTGCAGCCGCTTTTTGTTCACACACAGTTTCAGCTAATGATGGCAAGGCAAAACAGACCGTTTAGAAAGCGTAATTACGTTTTATCCTACTAGAATTGATGCCGGAAAGTTATCATATTCATAAGTGCAACAAGTCATTTGCATGTGAAAGTAGAAACACATGCAGTTCAGACGAAACTTCTGGGCTGATATAACGTGCACGTTAACTTTCCAGATGATAATGTGTGTGTAGGTCCGACAATAGCATCCACGATGTCATCGCTCGTGGCCAGTGCACTCTTAAGCAGTTATGACCAACAGGCTGTGTAATATGTGTGAACTGTTTTATTTATGTTATCACTTGGCCATTTGACTTATATCAGTGTCCAGTGTTTCCCATACATTGAGTTATTACCTTGTTGAATAAACTGATCACTGCACGTTTCAAAATTAAAATGCAGCGCGGGTGTTTTTATATGAATGTATCTTTGAAAAGAACCGACCGTCTTCAGAAAAGCTTCGGTGTCATTTTCATTTCGTCTTTCCTGTAATGCCTGATAAAGTAACGTTAGCGTTTGTGAGCGCAGTCACAGTGCTTATTAGATTACAGCCGTTACCGGGGAAACCGCTATATCTCCGCTCCAACAGAGCCTCCTGTTAGCGGAGAATGAATTTGCATTTGCAAGTCTGTAGGAAACACTGGTGTCTGTCAGCAAACATAAACAAAAAGCATGCTTCAGAAGTTTTGACAAGGTGCTTAAGTTCTGAGCCATGTATTATTACTCTGAATTAGGCTACTACTACTATTACTATCTTGTACCCTGCAATAATCATTTACTCAAACTCCCTTTTATGAGATGAAGGAAAAAAAAAGAAGAAGAAAATCGGCCAAACATATCGGCCAAAAAAATCGGCATCATATATCGGCCATCGGCTGCCCTGATTTCTAAATATCGGCATCAGCCAATGAAAAACCCATATCGGTCGACCTCTACTTCTGAACCAGTGATAGTTCACCCCCAAAAATATATACTGTATACACTGCTGTTCAAGTTTGGGGGCAGATTTTTAAAGAAATTGAAACTTTTATTCATCCAGAATGCATTTGTTACAGTTACAGTAAAGCCTTTATAATGTTACAAAATATTCTATTTGAAATGTTCTTTTGAACTTTCTATACTGTACATTAAAGATTCCTGAAAAAAAAACTGACACGGATTGCAGTAATGGCTGCTGAAAATTCAGCATTGCCATCACAGGAATAAATTAAATTTTAACATATTAAAATAGAAAAACTTTATAACTAAATTGCAATAATATTTCTGTATTTCTGATCAAATAAATACAGACGCGGTGTATTTTATGACAGAATTGTTTAGGTAAACTTCCCTTTAAGCTGAAATTTAGCTTAGATACCAAAAAGATACAAAAAAATCAATTCCCAACAAACGTACATAGTTTATGCTCAGATGTAATCTTAGCTCTTTTACAAAGAATTTAATTCGTGGTTCATCTAATTATGATTTTTACTTATTCTTTAAATTGAACTTTTTTCTTTCTTTTTTTATGTTTCCTGTTGTAGGAACACTTATATCCCAGTGAGTATTTGTTGTAAGGTTTGAATGCGGCTAACAGGGCCCATAATAACATGGAGACTTGGCAGGATGCGCAGGAGGTTTGGCTTTGAACCATTTTAGCACTCTGTTTGTCCCCAAGATCCACTTCTGCACAGTCCCTCTGTTTAATGAAGCTATACATCTCCAGCAGTCTTCTACACATCTGGAGATTGTATAGAGACAGAAGGCTGCATGACACTCGTCTGGGCCTCCATATTTCACAGCATAAGCTTGAAGTGCCATTAAATTTCCAGCTAGATCTTTCTCCATCTCCGACAGGTCTGTTCTATTGAGCTACAGTGGCAGAATCACCACTCTAACATGCAGACTCTATAAAAGACGACGAACACACACACACACACACACACACAAACCATGTATGAGTTCTGAAGTTATTTAGCATGGATGCATTCAATTTATACAAATATTTATAATGTTACAAAAGATTTCTATTTCAAGTAAATTCTGTTGTAATCATCAAAGAAAAAAGTTCCACAGAAATATTAAGCAGCACAAACTCTCCACAAAGTCTTCAACATTGATAATAATAAGAAATGTTTCTTGAGTAGCAAATCAGCATATTAGAAAGATACCAAGTGATGTCCATAATTCCCTGCCCACTGTTGGTTTGCAACAGTTGCACTTTTAAAGTAATATTAGAGTCATAATATTTGGGGGTTCTTTTGGACCTCTGAACCTTCTTAAAAATATTTACATCATTACTAGCTAGTGTTTACAGCGGCTGACTCCTTCAGCAGTTGAAGGAAGGCGTGTGTTAATTTAAGAATTAAATATGAGTCTTCTGAGATTGCATGTTGTGTAACCGCACTTTCAAATATGCAGAGCAAGAATAAATGGAGGGCAGACGGGCACACTTTGCAGCGAACATGGAGGGCATGTCAATGATGGTGGTGGATGGCAACCATCCAGAGGATGGAGGATTCTGAAATCCCCCATTACACACTCTCCTCCACCCCCAAACGACGATCTGCTAACACAAACCACATGCACATGGCCAAACCCACATTTTTTCACTACACACGCATAGTGTGTGAGTGTGTGTGTTTGTTGAAGGGTGGGGGCCTGAAAGGGAATGGGGTGTGTTGTGGAAAAGAGCCCTGGGAATATTAGCTCAGAGTTAAAAGTTCAAGCTATTCAAAACCAAACCTGCACCAAGTACAAGCCACATAGTTTGGTCCGCCCATTCTGATGCTATAATAGCTATTGGACGAAGTGTTGGTCTATATTTGGTGGGTTTTTTTAAGGGTCACGGGGTTTTCTGTAACATCCTGTATCTTCCAAAAGAGCAGTATGTCATTGCCCCGTGCTTTGATCCAGATGATCTTTATGAGGCTCTGATAGGAGCTCGAGCCCAAAAGAAATATAGAGCACACTCTCATCTGCTCCACAAACAGAGAGACACTGAGAAATCTGCCTGGAAACTTCCAATGAACAGAGAGAGGGGACTGTTTCCTCTAAAACGAGGGATTTGGTTGCTTCTAACCAGCTCTTATCCACCTGCCGTTCAGGATTTGCCACCACAGCAGAGGCTGTTGAACTTCAAATGCCATGGTGAATAAAATCTGAACACTCTGTTTCTTCAGGGGAGGGGAGGGAATGACTAAGAGTTTATGTAAGACGTTGTGGTTAAATGTTTGTAAAATGACAAAAACACACATCATCTTTGTAAGGAAATTGAATGTTGAAGTCACTGCTTACTTTTCCCCCCAAGAGATACTTTTTCCTAGTCTTTCTAAAGCCATAATCTGTAGGTTGGATGTTTGTTTTGAGGGTTTTTTAGTATGAACCCAAAGTAGGGTGAATGACAAAACATGTTTTTCTCTGTAAAGTAATTGGTTCTAGCAATGCCCGGGTCATGAGTTTGATTTGAGTTTTTATTTAATACTTTTATTCAGCAAGGCTGCATTAAATTGGTCGAAAGAGACAGTTAAGATATTTTATAATGTTACAAAAGATTTCTATTTCAAATAAATGCTGTTGAACTTTCTATTCATCAAAGAATCCTAAAAAACAGTTAAGCAGCCTGACTGTTTTCAACAATGATAATATTAAACTTTTCCCCCCAAGAGATACTTTTTCCTAGTCTTTCTAAAGCCATAATCTGTAGGTTGGATGTTTGTTTTGAGGGTTTTTTAGTATGAACCCAAAGTAGGGTGAATGACAAAACATGTTTTTCTCTGTAAAGTAATTGGTTCTAGCAATGCCCGGGTCATGAGTTTGATTTGAGTTTTTATTTAATACTTTTATTCAGCAAGGCTGCATTAAATTGGTCGAAAGAGACAGTTAAGATATTTTATAATGTTACAAAAGATTTCGATTTCAAATAAATGCTGTTGAACTTACTATTCATCAAAGAATCCTAAAAAACAGTTAAGCAGCCTGACTGTTTTCAACAGTGATAATATTAAGAAATGTTTCTTGAGCAGCAAATCAGCATATTCGAATGATTTCTGAAGGATCATGTGACACTGAAGACTGGATTAATGGCTGCTGAAAATGTTTCAAGTTGTATTACTGTTTTTACTGTATTTTGATCAAATAAATGCAGCCTTGGTTAGAATTCATTCAAAATCTTTCCTTTGTTTTCCTTTGCCTTTTCTGAGGCAGTTATCACAGGTTTTTTTTAGTTTCTATGTCAACAGAAGTTAGAAGCAAAGACTGCTATTTTGAGTCCTGGATGCTCTGAAATGTATGTTAATATATTGCTAAGCATCTCCCATTTTACTTGACATATTAAACTAAACAATATGTGAAGGCTCATAAAAATACTAACACATGTATATAATTTTATTTTATGAAGTTAGTTTTTTTGCAAACTTGTTTTTATGTGGTCTATAAAAGCTGGGGTTGCTCACTTTAATAAGAGGTATTTGAGGTATGCCTGGTTTGAGGTTTACAGGAAAACACATTTCTGTGGCATGAAAGCTCTTGAATTCCTGCGCTGCAGTTTTGCTATTTTAAAATATGAAACAGCAGAGGCCATTAACTTCCATAAATACTCCATTTAAATGTCATTTTGTTGTTTGCTTTGCTTTACAGATGAGACGCGGCCAGTGCCACAGTTAAATGGACCCGCGGTGGCCCCAGGGTCTTATATTGCTAAGCATCTCCCATTTTACTTGACATATTAAACTAAACAATATGTGAAGGCTCATAAAAATACAAACACATGTATATAATTTTATTTTATGAAGTTAGTTTTTTTGCAAACTTGTTTTTATGTGGTCTATAAAAGCTGGGGTTGCTCACTTTAATAAGAGGTATTTGAGGTATGCCTGGTTTGAGGTTTACAGGAAAGCATGAAAGCTCTTGAATTCCTGTGCTGCAGTTTTGCTATTTTAAAATATGAAACAGCAGAGGCCATTAACTTCCATAAATACTCCATTTAAATGTCATTTTGTTGTTTGCTTTGCTTTGCAGATGAGACGCGGCCAGTGCCACAGTTAAATGGACCCGCGGTGGCCCCAGGGTCCGCGGCCATTTCTGCTCCCCCCACCCCAGAATCCCCCGGTCCTTCCACCTGTCCTCTTCTGCCCACCCCCACTACCCCTCAACCACCTCCAGCCACCTCCTCATCTCCCGGCTGTGGCTCTTCTAACCCAGAGCAGGCTGGCACCGGGGCCCCTGGGGCGCCATCAGTCACCCCAAGCAACCCTGAGACCGAAGAGGACAAAGCCAAGAAGCTGCTTTACTGCTCACTGTGCAAAGTGGCCGTCAATTCGCTCTCCCAGTTGGAGGCCCACAATAAAGGTGAACATTCATTTAGTGACAGCTCATCTGAACTGAATAACTTACTGTGCTGACTGATTACACAAAACATCCGTCATTTGGAAAAAAGAGTCTCCAATGAGCGCTTAGAGGTGGATAGATTATACATAATAACAAATGCTCCCTGAGTATTTTCTTGTTTGAGGTACTCACTAGTCTGTTCATGTGACTTTGTACTGCTATGGTTTTAAAATGCACAATGTTGTTGCAAACAGAAAAAGCTAATGCAGAGGTTATATAGTGTTTCTCTGCTCTGTTAATTCTACTTTTAGGGGACAACATTTTTGCCAGTGGCAAGGAAATTAACCAACCATAAATATATATATATATATATTTATGTGTGTGTGTGTGTGTGTGTGTATCAGCAATGACACTTTTATCTGACTGTTATCTACTAATTAACTGTTATTTACTAAAATATCTGTAAAAATATTCATAATATATAATATAATTATATAATATAATATATATTCATAATATATAAAATATCTCCATAAAACTTCCTATCACAAAACGTGAAGACATATTATTGTTTGCCATGTTTTGCTAAATGCAATAAATGTTCCATATTGAATATTACATTCATTTTTTTCATAAATTATGCATACTAGATACATTTCTGTTGGCAGCTTTTTTCTTTCTTTTTATTGATTGATTGCATAGAGTCAGACTATCATTCCGCTGGAATAAAACCATATTTCTCTTCCTAATAAAGTTGCTGACAAACTGGGAAATAATGTACTTAACAGGATTTTTATAATCCTTATAATCCTTGTCTTTCTCAATACATGCTCAAATGACTTCAGAAGACATAATTATTTTAAGAACAGTCTGCAAGATTGATCTTGTTCTGTGAGCAGCAGAAATATGCTTTGAGTAGCTCAAGGCAGCTCACTAGAGGAACACTAGCAATTACGTCCATCACCGAAAAACCCCTTGAAACTTCTAAAACGGGCGTCTTCAGAAGCTTTCTCTCTCATGATTTATACACAACTTTACAGCACCGCTTGTCCTCTCGGTTTGCCCCAAAGGTGTGCACAAAAAACGAATGAAGTAGATCAGCTTTTGTACTGCAGTGCAGCTTGTAGTATTTTAGGCAGTGTTTGATTTCTCGTGGTATATCGAATGCCTGAGCATATCTCGTTCTGCTCTATTATTCAGTTCGTGTCAACACAAACAGCCCTGTTTGATGAGATGAAGGTGAATGTAGAGAAGACTTTGCTGCAAAAGCACACACAACTCTATTTATTATTGATCACCTCTTTTATTTATCAGGGAAAACTGCAGTCATAGTTTCAGTGTTTATACCGTCTGTTTAGGAATTTCTCATGTTGAGCTTGTTGATTAAATGGTCTGTTTTTCCCCGGGCCAAAAGAAATGAATGCCTTTACATAAAGTATTTGACAACTGTTTATGTGGTGTGAAAATTAAACGGCGCATATTCACACTTTGATACATGGAAGCTACATGGAAGTCGTTCCTCTTGGAACAAGACCATGTTTTAAAGTAAACATTAAAAGTTATGAGTGATATCAGGCCGTTGTTGCCAATGGAATGGCAAATTTGAATCAGTCTGGGTTTCAGAAAGCTATCTGGAATCAATACAGTCCATTCCCTAAATTAATTCTCTAAACCACAACCAAAAAAATCAAATCATATGTTGTGCAGACAACCACAGAAATAAGTCAGGAGGGGAAGGGAGAGTTTTAGCATACTATATTTCTGCAGCTGTATGTTCAGACACAGCTGTCAATTCCTATTTGATCTGTTTAGTTCTCAGATGGCATTTACAAATCACTGTTACACAGTGAAACTAGCAACGCTCATTGCCTGGAACAAATTTTAAGTCTGAATATTGCAAGAGTGCATTTTTGAAGAGCAGTTTGAAGAGAGTTTTTTTGCCTGGTCTCTTTAATCCCAAACTTAAGGTAAACTTTTGGTCAAGAGGGGGAAAATGAAGCCTGCTTTTGGTTTGGCAAGAGAACATTTCAACATTCCCAATGTTTTCTTGGTTAAGAACAAAACAAAGACATTAGTTCTTAGGAACCCAAGCATGTGGACGTCACGTGTTTTTTTGTCCATATCATTGACATTGTGAGGCCAGGAACATGACGGCGAAACATTTAAGGAGAACCATGTGTTGCACGGCTCCAAACACAGGAAGTGGAGAATTGATGAGCTTCTTTGTAATGAGGAGAGCCAAATTGAACGAATCACTAAGACTTGAGGAATTCAGTTTTGTAACAAAGTTTTGAAATTAAAAGCCAGGCAGTATACTTCTTGATTTATGAACAGTACTGTACAATAATGTAACCTGAATGAAATTCAAAAAGGATATGATTTCCAACTGCAAAGCATTCCAACAAAAGAATGGTGTGACTGCCTATTAGACATGTGGACAGAAATAAGAATCATCCCTAGCATGAGCAGCTGCATTTAAAGTCTGCATGAAATCAAAATGGACTTTATTTACTTTACTAGCGCACATTGCTAGTCTTGATGTGAACAATTAATCCGTGCAAGTTAATCCGCTGAAAAAAATAGTTTGTCTTCGTAATCTTTAATCAAAATCTGAACATTTACTTGCGCTCTAGAATGGCATTCCTTTTCTGATGACGGCTTGGCAGAATATACTTAAACACACCCCTCCAACCGTTAGATTGCTATGAGTGAGAGACAGAGAGGAGGAGCGCAAACATTAAACCATGCCCTCTATTCAATATTCCGTTTCAGCTGGAAATACGTCACTACACTGAAATAAAGTCGGCAGCAACTTCCAGTTCACAAGGATTTTAAGGGTAATTCAAAGCGGAAGATTCAAGAGCCCTCTAGTGGTTATGACTAGATATTGCAACACTGCCTGTAGTTCATATTAAATTAAATGTTATGTATTTATTATTATCAAAATATAATATTCTTATTTTATTATTATTATCTTTGTTGCTATTTTTATTATTTATCATATATTCTTTTTATTACATTATATTATATTATTTATTTAAATTTTTACATTTATTTAGTTTCATACAAATGCTGTTCTTTAGAACTTTCTATATATCAGAGAAACCTGGGGGAAAAATACAATTTAGAAAAATATATATAAAGCAGCACAACCATTTTCAACATTGCTAATAAGAAATGTTTCTTAAGCACCAAATCAGTAATATAATGATTTCTGAAGGATCATGTGATGATGAGGACTGGAGTAATGTCTGCTAAAAATACAGCTTTGTCATCACAGAAATAAATGACATTTCAAAATATATTAAAGGAAAAAAGTTATTTCAAATTGTAATAATATTTAAAAAATATTACTGAGAAAAATTACTCAATCAAATAATTGCAGCTTTGTTGAGCATAAGAGACTTCAAAAACAATAATATATAACTCCCTAATTTTTTATGCATGTACATATATACAATATATTTTATTTATAACAACACTCAATTTTCAAAACCCCACTTGTATTTCTCCTCACTCCTCAGGCACTAAACACAAAACCATTCTGGAAGCCCGCAGCGGACTGGGCCCCATTAAGGCATACCCTCGTTTGGGTCCGAAGCCCAGCGGGGAGCAGGGAGGCGGGGCCACGGACCCCAATACTCAGGAACGCACCTTCCACTGTGAGATCTGCAACGTGCGGGTCAACTCAGAACTGCAGCTCAAACAGGTGAGCGAGGGTCATGGTGTTCGTAATTGTTTTTTCTTTTAAATGCTTGTCGTGCTGTTTACATGCTGTATATATTGTTATCGAGCTAAATTTGTTTATATGTTTCCAGCACATATCAAGTCGAAGGCACCGGGACGGAGTGGCAGGAAAGCCAAACCCCCTCCTGAGCCGACACAAGAAGCACAGGGGAGCTGACCTTGCGGTAAGTGGTAACCAATCCTAATTTAAATGTGCTTGCACGCACATTTAATTGTATGTCAGATTACAATATGATATCGTTGGGTCATAATATTTTTCTCTTCATATAGGATCTCACCAAAGCATTAGGCGCCGGCCTCCTGCCGAGTCCTCTGGCCGTTGCTGCGGCAATGGCAGCGGCGGCCTCCTCCAATCCGCTCGCTCTCCGCGCAGCAGCCTCCGCCCCCCATCCGCATCATCACCTCCTGCAGGGTCCGCCCCTCAGCCACGCCATCTTGAGACCAGCTCCGGGGCCCATACGCACCTCACACGGGCCGATCCTGTTCTCGCCGTACTGACTCCGCCCTCACCCGCCCTTAGCCAATCACAGCCAGTCCGGAGCCTCACCTCCAAAAGCACACTGTGAAGACGAAAAAATAATGAAACACCACAGCAATGACAAGAATCGGCCCATCAACAACAACGTTAATCATCAAACCAAGCAGAAGGGGGCGCAGCCACGAAGGAGGGTGCGACTGGCATTCCAACCCTCTTTCCATCACCCTTAACCGCCTACTTCATCTCCGTTTGTTCGAATCAAGTGATTTATTCGTTGGTGGATGAACGAACGAATGCAGGGATTGTTGGAATAGAGCAATATCGTATGCAGAGTGCATCTGACGTCCTTGTTCCTACCCTCTATTTATACTCATACTGTGAGGTAGCAGCAGTCACGTGGTAGCCAGAAATGCTGGAATCAGTTTCTAGACACCCCAAAACACACAAAGACTACAGTTAAATGTTGTTCTGAATAAATGCACCCTCAACCCTATGCACCTTGAGAAACCTACAGAAACCATCAGTACGCTTCTCGTAGCATTCACTGTATTCAACTTGTACCATCTAGCTTTGGCATCTTTGCAAGAGGAAAACGCCCCAATCTCCATCGCAGTTCCCCCACGTCATCAGGACTCCGAGAAGGGGATTGTGGGGAAGGTCTAAGGATGCCGACACTTTCCCAATTCTGGCTTGAATTGAGAAGCTTATCATGGCGCCCGACTTCATACAGTCGCATCTCGCTAGGGAAACAGAGGGATTCAGAAGAGACACTCGAGATTTCTTTTGTGTCGCTTTTGCATCCGTTTGCACTAGGAGCGGTTGACTGAAAAACCCCAGACCCCTGTCTTAGATCTTAGAAAATCAGTAGATTTATTCTATTGTGTAGCGTAGTTTAGTTCAGAACATCCAAGCTGGTTGACTTTAGAAATATTCCGAAGTGAAATATGTACGTAGATAAGATGGACGGGTACTTTGATTCTCAGAGAAAGGCAACAAACCTAAGCACACACTTGGACTTACAGTACATACAGGCTCCTCTGTTCATTCTGTCTCTGTATGTTCAGTGGACATTATGCAACCCCAAGCAATACAGCCCCCCTTCTGTCCGACTTCCGCGTTCAGTCTCACGAGACAGCCTGCATCCCGCAAGGACTGACATAACCGGTCAGCCACTCCAGCGGACGCCCATGAGAGTCTAGAAAAATAAACAGAGAAAAGACGCAGAGGAGGTCACAGAGGACCCGACTGTGCAATCTCCCCTTTTTTTGGTATGAACTTCCTGTCTTGAATCTAAAGCCATGCAATGCATATTCTTTTTGTTCTTTTATTATGATCAATTAATTGTTTTGATGTTGTTGTTTTTTTGGTTCGTTTTCATAGCACACTGATACGTTGAACAAATATTGTTGTGGAAATTCTAAAAAAAAAAAAAAAAAAAAATCATTGAGCAAAAGAAAAAAACAGGAATATTTTTCTATGGAAGATTGAAAACCTGCACTTGGGTGGGCTCTACATGTATAAATCGTGTTTGGAGGAAGTAAAGTAACATAAGCATAAACATCAAACTAGGGCCTGTCGTGTTGGTGGAGATACGCGACAGTTCACTGATAAGCAAAGTGCGACAATGTCTTACTGTTGTTTAGATATTGCAATGCAATAAGCAATTGTCATTTGTTGTAGAAGAGAATTTATAAATGGTACGGCTGCTAAAAGGCCTCCACGTTCTTCCACAGAGATAAACTAGCCTTTTTAGGACAAAAGCTGGGCGTTTAAAGCAAGAAAGGGGCACCCACAGGAACGGGCCCTTCATATTAAAGGGTCTTTTCTCAACTCTGAGTGGGGGGGCAGGGTATATCTGAACGCAAACAATGTGTAGTCAGCCATAGCCTATGCGTATGTAGCTTAGTTCACTTTTTTGTTTGTTTGCGTTGTGTGGGAAACGTCATGATAATGCCATTACGTCATGCTAATTGCGGTTAGCGTTCACCATTGTGCTTTGATGGAATGTTACCTCCATTTCTCATTAGTTACTGAGGCACTATTATGGGTGCTGTAGTTTCACGTCGGTGTGTATCGTGTAGTGTTTGTTGTGTGCGTACGGATAGAATCCGGTTCTGGGAAACCTGACAGAATCTGGCTTAAGGGATAGTTCACCGAAAAATTAAACTTTTCATTTACTCTCATATGTAAAATCTCCTCTAAAGGAGATATTTATGAAAAATTACAGTAAAACGACAGTTTTTTAGTGACCAGGGTATCGATCTCCAAAAAAAGCACCACAGTGTCAAAAAGATCTTTGACTCTTGTGTGAATTCTTTTGAAGAAATAATTATTTAAATCATACTTGCAAACTCGCCTTCTGATGTTGAAATTCACATCATTAGTGCAAATTATTTTTGGTGAGAAGCGCCACCTACTGTCAGAGAGTGAATTTGCATTTTTATTCAGCCCATCTGCTGTTTTTTTTCCGTAATCAACTTTTGTCATCATCATTCAATATATCATATCATTTAAACTATGACATTTTTTTTACACTCAGTTTACAGGATGTTTAGGATGTTACCAAAGCAATATTGCTACCTAAACAAAATGTAGTTTTATTCTGATTTTAGAATTTTCAGAATAATTTTGAGAATTAAAAACTGTTAATTTCAAGATTTTTTGAAAGACAATTCCCTGACCAAGCATATTGATTCTTTAATAAAATATATATTTTTGTGTTCTGTGGAGAAGAAAAAAAAACAGCATATGGGTTTGGAACTACACAAGGTTGAGTATAAAATGAACAAGTTTTCATTTTTTTTGCAGTGGCCCATTCCTTTAAACTGCACATTTGCAATCAGCTGTTTCTATCCCAAACTTAATCATTAAAAACAATCAGTGGACGGTGTTTTCGGCTGATTTCAGATGAGCATTTTGGGGTAACACTATGCGCACTGACACATGCTGTAGTTTGAAACCAACTGGTTGGTCCAGTGCCCCATTGAAATCATGTGAGGTGATAAAGCCATCACAGCTAACACACTCCACAGGCTCGCAACAGACTCGCTTAGTCCCATCCGTCAACACTGTAAAGACCACATTCATCCTGTAGTCAGAATAATGTCATCACTGTACAGAATTGTCGTTGGTAGATTTATTCAACCTTTCAGGGCAGGTGTAATGTTAGTTGGTGAAGTCTATTTTAGCCTTAGCCTTATTCCACCCCAGGCCTCTCCAGGAGCGGACGCGGATGGAGAAGCTTCGGTCAAACCTCGTCTTGCCAATAAATTTATTTTTGAATTGAGCTGTCAAATGGGATAACAGTATGTGTGATGGAACATAGCAATATTCAACTCATACTGGCTACTCTTGTTTATTGCAATAAGGAAATCAACCAATAGATGCATATGTGAGTAAAATATTATAGATGTAATTTAAATCAAATACAGAAAATTATGGAAATACTTGGTATCAGAGAAACTTGGAGTTACCACAGGGAAAAAAGAAGAAAAAATCAATGTCTATAAATCAATAAAGAATATTAAAAATCTTGTCTCATGCTTTTTTTTTCATAGTCGTTTTTATGAAATGTTATAATTATAGTTAAAGGTTAAAAAAGGAGCCTCTTTCAAATTATTAAAAACATCAAGACTGTACACTGTAAAAAAAAAACAGTATTAAATAAATAAAATGTAATTTTCACAGAAGAAAAAAATCCAACTGTGATTGCCAGATTATTTATGAAAAAAAATGCATAAAAAATGTAAACATATTTACAGCACAACCTGTAAATTAAGTTAAGAAAAATTAGCCAGCAAATCTAATAGCCCTTTTCTGCTTCCTTTTGTTTTGTCCCTCGAACACATGCCTACAACCAACATAATAAAACAGGTGGCATAAATAAATTCACATGAACAAAGTTCATCAGAAGTAGCCTTTCCACGAGTTGTGGAATATACTAATAGAAGAGTCGTACACTCAAATATAAGACACCATCACGGTAACGGTTAACACTAATTAAAGTTTAGATAGATAGATCTATTCCATATCTTTCCCACAGTATTTGAAAAGCAAATCTCTCATTTTTGTTTGTTTCATCAGTGCATTACACAGAAAGTGAAGAATAATTTAGGCAGCTTTAGATCCTAGCTCCCATGTGTAAATTCTACTGTGCGTCACTAGATGGCGCTGTTGGACTGATCTGCTCACAGCGCATCAAGCTCACTAAAACAAGCAGACTAGTCGGCCAAGTATTTATACACTATCTGCCTGCTGTGCTGCGACAAATTCAAACAAATACCGAGTTAATAGCTAATGAACAGGCTTTACATAAACTAGCACCTTTTGTGATGTGTTCATGTTTTAGTTGTAAACGTTTTTAAATGTTTAATGTTGAGCTCTGTAATGCGCGTATATTGATCATATCACACACAACATGAGGTGTCTAAACTTTATATTTACCCTTCCTCATTTGTTGCTTTGTGAACACACTTCACACTTTTATTATACAGATCACTCAAAATGATTCAGCAGTTTCATCTTTTCAAAGCCAATTGTGGAATTTTCATCTATAGGCCTATTACATTTGTATTTTACAAGGAAGCTGGGTGTAATAATGTTTATATGAGGATAAACATTTAGGCACAGCCAGGATTTTTTTTGAATTTATATTTTAAGTTGATTATTATTTGTGTTCATCACAGTGAGAGGAGCTACATTATATGTTGATACTCAATATAAAATAGAGTCCCACAATACGAGTTTCATCAGCTATAAACCAATGATTATGGTTTTTATAAATGGCTATCAATAAACAGATCTAATATCAAACTGCAAGGACTTCTAGTGTGATTAGTCAAATGGCATTTAATAATAAACCAAGCAACTGCTATTGAATAGTATATAACAGAGCATTTCTGCGAAGTATGTTAATTAATTTACACCAGCAATCCATGTTTCTGAACAGGATTTTTTTGCAGCGTATAGTCGCAATGAATGGTCTTTTTGAAGTGAGCAGGAACCTTTCAATTCAGTTTTCAGTAGTCTCTTTTATCTCTTAAGGATCAAGGAAAATTCTGTTTTTCATAATATCCACCTTTTTAAGGTTGAGCCAAACTCAAGGAATAAGAGCAGTTCTGCACTGAAATCTGAGCGTCATTAGAGCTATAATCCTCTCCATGACACTTGAGAGCGGGACGGAGCACAGTTGAAGTACACATACTGGGCTAGAGAGGATGGGTGGAGAGAAGAGGAGAGCTGTGGCAGACACGCATCTCATAAGGACACGGTGTCAGAGTTTGAAAGGTTCACGCGTCGCGCTCTGCAAACGGAGAACTCCATTAGCTGAAATATGTGCCTGGGCTTTTACCAAAGATTTTAGCACACACCTAACAGGTCTGTGGGGATAATTACACAGCAAATAACACATACATCCAACAACAGCAAAATGTGAAGGGTGAAAGACATGCAGAGAAGACGGAAAGAAAGTGAACAGTGTGATTAATGCACTTTTACATACTTGACACCTACGAAATATTCTAATGCTGACAACAAAACAAAACACAGTGACAGCGCTGAACTTGACGAGTTCTTTGTGTACGCATTGAGATTATTCACGAACATAAGAAGTAATGAGAAATCCTTCCTTGCAATCCTTGCAAATCGTTGCACGTTCAGTAATCAGCAGGAAATTGAGCCCTCATAGTGTGCTATTGTAAAAAGCTGATGTCTTACTGTGGTCCACTGTTCGGCCCTCAACTAACAGTAAAACCTATGCTTTAACCCAATGTATATGTATATATGATCAAAAGTTTGGAATAATGACGTTTTTTTTTATGTTTTTCAAAGAAGTCTCTTATGCTCACCAATGCTGCATTTATCTGATTAAATACAGTAAAAATAGTAATATTTTGAAATATTATTACAATTTAAAATGTTTTCTATTTCAATATATAAAAAATGAAATGTATTCTAGTGATGGCAAAGCTGAATTTTCAGCAGCCATTACTCTAGTCTTCAGTGTCACATGATCCTTCAGAAATCATTCTAATATGCTGATTTGATGCTCAAGAAATATTTCTTCTTACTGTTATCATCATCATCAGTGTTGAAAACAGTTTTTGCTGCTTAATATTTTTGTGGAAACCGATACACTACCATTCAACGTTTGGGGTAAGATTAAAAAAAATCAAATCAAATAATAATTTTGCAAGGATGCATTCAAAAAGGAAATGCACTCATAATGTTACATAAGATTTCTATTTCAAAAACAATGCTGACCATTTGAACTCCTGAAAAAAAATTGTATCAGAGATTCCACACAAAAAAAAAAATACTTGTATTATTTGTGCAGTTCACTATGTTCTCTAACCGCCTAAATGCTAACATTGATTTTCCCACCCCTTTTACCCGCTCCTCTTGTCAATCCCATAGAGATGTGCTTCCCTCGGTCATGATGCTCCGGTTGTGAGAGAGCATGG